ACCAATGTTATCCTAAACTTGTCAAACCAGGCTCAAGGAGACTGTTTTAAGTCATACAACGACTTCCTAAGCCTACACACCATGCCCACTGTTTGGGATGTACTGAGTCCTGGTGGTATCTCCATATATAACTCTCTGGTAGCTCCCCATGAAGAAAAATATTCTTCACATCCAGTTGGTGGAGTCTCCATCCACCATTCATTGCTAAAAATGCCAGTGTCCTCACCATGGTCATTTTTGCAGTTGTTGCAAATGTTTCATTATAGTCAATGCCATGCGCCTGACTACACTCTTTTGCCACTAGTCATGCTTTGTAACTTTCCTCCCACCCTTCTGGAGTTTGATTTACCGTGAAGATTCACTTGCATCCAACTACCTTCATCCCTGTTGGTAGTGGTACAATCTCCCATGTTTGATTTTTATCAAGAGTGCCAAGTTTTTCATGCATCATCGCTTTCCACTTGGGATCCTCTTTAGCAACCAACCAACACGGGTATAAAGGCAGAGTTTAATGATGCAATGAATTCCTCATGCAAAGGTGAGATGCCATAATAGGAAATAAAATTCACAATGTCATGTTTCCACCGAAAACGATTAGGAGGATATCTCGCATTGTTGCGGGAGGTCCTCCTTAATATTGGGGTCACCTGGTAGTTTTGAATCAAAGGTCGATAGTGTAGGTGTCTCAAGAGTTGGGGAATATCGGGATAAGGGACTTGTTGGCATGACAAACACTGTTCCCTCGGTTTGCTTCTTTCTCCGTGATATACCCTTAACTCACATTTGGCCTGAATCCCTCCACCTTTAGGTTCAATCTCCTCGATTTTTATTTCCTCAGTTGATTCATCCCACATCATAGAACATGTTATCGATCCCACTTGCACCACTCGATCACCATTACTACTCTCTCTCTCGCCTCATATCTACAACATCTGTTGAGTCATCGAAGGGTGAATTCACCTCTAGAGTGTAGTATGACTCAAACTCTCTAAATGATATATCCATGCTCACAAAAAAGTCTCTTCTCAATCCGGCTTCAGCAGACATAACCCTTCTGAGTAACAGAATAACCCACGAGCACATATTTCACAACTTTGGGATCCAACTTCCCTACAAATGGTCTGTTGTCTTTCACAACACATACACATCCAAATACCTTCAATGGAAGGATCCCATTATTATCTATTTTCAACATCTGACAAGGAGATTTTTACTCCAGTACTCTTGAGGGCATCCTGCTAATCAATCGAGCGACTGTCAACACTAATTGTCCCGATAACTATTGTGGGGCATTCATTGCCATCATCATGCTCCTGGCTACCTCTAGAAGATGGTGATTCTTCCTATCTGTTACTCCATTCTGTGCAGGTATGTATGGGCATGTGGTTTGACATTGTATCCCTTGAGCTGATAGATAGACCTCAAATGTCTTGTTGATATATTATGTCCCATTCTCAGATCTCAGTACATTCACAACGACACCATATTGGGTCTGGATTGTCTTATGGATATCTTTAAATCAAGCAACCACCCTACTCTTCTGCCTCATCAAGTACATCCAGATAACACGAGAAAAAAATCAATAAACGTAACAAAATAACGATAACCATTCATAGGGCTAGTAGGACAAGGTCTCCCTACAATAGAATATATCAAATCAAATACACTAAAACTCCTCTTCCCAGAACTCACATAAGAGCTGCTGGTCAGCTTGCCAAACTCACAAGCATTACCCACCAATTTCTTCTTATTTGTCTTTTCATACATAGCTGGATACAATCAACTTAGTAAACTAAGACTAGATTGTCCCATACGTCTGTGATGTAGCAGTGACACATCCTCGACGTTCATCTTAGATTCTCCTATTGCAGCACTTTTCACCATGCATGCCAGAGCTAAGTCCACCCCCTCTCGATCCAAGTACCAGAGTTCACTATGCTACGTTTCAGTTCTAAGTGTCCGACCCGTCCCTTTCTCTTGGAAGATCACCCGAGGAATATCAAAGAAACATTGCATTTTAGCTAGAAAATAATGACACTAATGAATAAGAGATTTACTCGAAAAGAACGAGCATGCAAAACATTGGACAATGTCATATGATTGATACATTTCACTATACTCTTATCAACTATAGGCTGAGCTGTACCATCAACAGTCTGTGTATTCTCTGGTACTGTTAGATGAGTATATGCGGAAAACTCTTCAGCAGTTCCTGTACGTGACGAGAAACACCTATGATCCATTATGATGATTCTGTGGTGGATATAGAGGCAAGAGCAAGTGTGCCACTAGTACATTTGCTAATGCGAGTATAAGTGACTAGGTGTGTAAACGAGTCGAGCGAGCTCGAGTTTGGGGTCAAACGAGCTTAGCTCGTGTAATTAAATCAGGCTCGAGCTCGACTCGAGCTTAAATTACGAGCTCGAGCTTGACTCAAGAAAAATATATTAGGCTCTAGCTCGGCTCGTCAACTCGAGCTCGATTGGGAAGCTCAAGCTCGACTCGTTTTATTAGTTTGATTGCACTTGAAAATTTTAATGTTGGTTTTGAATCAAACAATTGAAAAGAGCTGTAAATTTATATTGCAATTGATTGAAAAGAAACAAATTTTTTTTTTTTTTTTGCAAAAAATTCATCATAACCTTGATAGGAAGTTACTCATAGAAAACATCACATAGATACCACCCAATTTCCGTATATTTACAAACCTTGCACCCAAACTTTACTTTTTACATTTATACAACCCAAATATTTCATATCACAACAAAAATACCACTATTTCAACTTCTTAAAAAGTGAAATACACAATTTCATGCAAAGCTAAGTTGACATATATGTTTCAAATGAAGTTTAAGTTTTGGATATGTGAATACATATGAATTGAGTGGTATGCATATAAAGTTATCAATAACATTATAAATCAGTTCGATAAAAACTTCCATCAAAATATCATAACAAATTAATGAGCACTACTCGCACATTCCTTTGATTCTGGTATAAAGACAACAAACTTCGAAAAATTTAAACAAAGTCTAAACTTTAAACATATAGGATATGCCTTCCAGGTATACATCTAAGAATAGTTCAACTTTGTCAAATTGTCTCAATGATTACAATTGCTACCAGTCTAGGATTTTAGCTCTGATATCAAATATAAATTATTGCTCAAAAATCATCCTTCATTTTATTTATGATGGGCTCATATAGAGCCTTACAAGACACACTTACAAATAAATTCCTATATTTCATCTATTTACAAATATGACCTTTCATTAGATAAAAATTTCAACAAAGATCCAATGCTTTTGGTACCCGGACAACCACTATGGAATAGTGGGTGGAAGATGGGTGAGTTGATTTCAAATCATTGGCTTTTTCATGGAGGGCTGGGAGACATAGATATGATTGTTGTGGCTCAGGGAAGCATGGTGCTGGATTTGATGGTGATGTAATGGATCAATAGGTTGGGGCTACCTGAAAAATTAAGGCGGATATTGGTGACAACACGTAACAAGAAAGGCTCAATGAGCACCAGTTGTTTCGACTTTGAGGGATTGTAATGATAAACAATAATTTCAAGTTCATCAAGAACTCTAGAAAATGGGGAGCGGGAAGTGACAGAAGAGAAGTATCACAACAAGAGTCTTATTTCAAGTCATTGCATACCTGACACTTGTCAACAATAAGTATATATAACATGATGCCATGTGACTAATTAATGACATGCCGGACAGTAATGTCACTTAATCTGCTTATTAAATAATATTATACCGATTGCAATTAGAACATATTAACTTGATCTTTTGGCCTGCTGCGCTTATTGATCTAGCAGTGACAAATAAATGGAAACCTCCATATTTTTGACTTTGGTTGATTGTTGTGAGGCATATGCACAAAATTTTGACTTATGATAAGGTGAACACGATGCATTAATCAAACTGAAGCATCTATGAATGATTTCTGACATCCCATGTTGGTATGGTTATCTATTTGCAATGTTCTTCATTATTCGATTTTTGTAATTAATATAGTTGCTGTTAGCTGTATACGCTTATCTGATACTACTTTTCTTTGTCCAAACGTTACAATCATGTCATGAAATTCATTACAGGAGTTTCATGCAATAAAGAGGCGATGCACTGGGAAGTATGCTGATGACTGTGCCTGCATTATTACGGTATGAACAAACAACGAGATATTTATAAGATTTTTAGTTGGTACTACTTTAGAATTTGGATAGCAAGGCATCTGATAGCTTGTTTTCCGCAATGATTTCTTCTCATCAAGTTCAGGTCAAATTTTCATTTGATTCGAGTAGAAATTAAGTGCACTCCCTGATTCAAATAGCGGATAGAAACTTGAGCTTTAACTACCTTTGAGAATCGAGTGTTATTTAATTACCTAAATTACTGCCAATCTATTCATTGTTGGTTGCGGCTTGTTTACAAATATTATTTTGTGAATGACAATATCAGGTCAAAAAGGAAGACATTTGTGTAAAGCGTACAGTCTTAAGCAGCATTGTTGGAACGCTGGACTTCAGCCTTAGACAATTATTTTCCGGACAAACGTTCCCTTGTGTATGGGTTTAATTATGCTTTACCATTTTTGATTAGAAAATTCTCCATGTCATCAATTAACTTCATGAAATTTATAACAGGAGCGATCAAAGGCCCCAATTTCCTGCGGCATATACCGTTCTGATTTACCCAGATATGGTTACATTGCAAACTTATGTGTGGCCAAGTATGCACGTCGTCAAGGAATTGCGAGCAACATGCTCCATCTAGCTATGGATGCTGCAAAATCATCTGGTAAAAATGTTAAATCTGAAATTTTCAGCATTATTTTTAGATGGGGAGTTATTGACTGATTTTAAAAGTATATGCTAGCTGTTAAATTTTTCTTTTCATTTAAAAAAAATTGAAGTCAGATCAGTTAAAGGAATGACATGGTTTAACCTGTAAAGTTTGATGTCTATGAAGTTTCCTGTTTGAATGTAAATGATTCAGGCATATGCAATAGAGCCACGGTTTAGTTCGTAATTTATAGAATGAAATATTCTTCACTTTTGCTAACCTAACGCTCTTTTTTTGCTGTAGGTGTTGGTCAGGTATTTGTTAACGTCCACAAGGATAACATTACAGCTCAGAAGTTATATGAGAGGGTAGGCTTTCAGGTACATATTACATCAAATTTTGTGTGCAGAGAAGATATTTACAATCTGATAATGGTAGCTTTTTGCCTGCAGATCTTTGAGAAGGCCATCCCTCAACCAGATGAAGAGAATTTGTATTTGTTGTGTTACAATTTATAGAACTTTTGCTGCAACATGGCGCCGACCGCTATTCCCAGTTTTTGTTGGCTAAAAAACGGTGAAAAATTTTAGCTTCCATACTGACCACGTTTTACAAATGTACATTGATTCATCATAGAATCATTGGACTTTCAATGTTAGTCTCAATACAGACAATGATTTACACTTGTAAATTGATTGATTGTAGGAAATGTTCTTACTTTGTTTTTGCTCATTAAAGGGACTTTAGTAATGTGTATTGGAGAAGAGGATGGCGCCACATTAGTAAGTAAATTTAAGATAACTAGCAAACATGGCACTGATCATGAAGTTTTGTTATTTGTAGTATTTTCAGTGAATTATGTGGGATAATTAAGTTCAGTGATTTGCTTCAATTAGATTCTATTGGCCATCAAGAGAAAGAGAAGTCTTTTGTTTACCCTAATGAGAAGATGGCTGCTCCTTTTCTTTAGGCTTTACACCCTTGCTACTGATGTCGTCTATTCTTCGTCCCCACAACCAAGAAGGATTTCAGACTCCCTTATTATATTTACTAAATGTTTCAATTAGTGCTTTGATGATATTGAGAGATTAGGGTTAAAGTCATAATTTAAAGTTCTGGCATAATTGATTGAAACAAATAGAAAACTCGCTACCATTTTTGACTCGGTTTAGGAGTTTTAGTTGATGGTGCTTTTTTAGATCTTGGTGCCATTGATACGGTGTTTCCATTTAAAATACATTAAAAAATGGACCTTTTTCATAATTGAAATGGTCACCCTAATTGACTTGTTATTTAGGCTGCCCCTTTTATAGGTTCAATGTTCATCTTTCATAAATTTGTGCGGCCATGTTCCTGTTCGTTTCCCCACAAAAGTTCGCTTTCAGAAGGCATTTTTATTTTCTTTGTCACACTAATTAAAAACATCCTTTTCCCATTTTATCTCGTGAAACCGGATTAATTAATGTTTGGATGCCCACAAATGACCTATAATGCGCTTAAATATTAGGGCAAATAATTCTTGACTATTAGTGTACAATAAAATATTATAGAGTAGGTAAATGTTTTAGGTGGCTAAAATTTAAAGATTATCGAGATCCCCATGAATTTGATGTTGCACCGCATGGTAGGACCCCCAAGTGGCTATTCAAGTTATCAATGCCAAAGCTATGTTTAGTTGATCAAAAGAGGACACAATTGCAAATATAGTGTAGAAAATGATTCCATAAACCAGAGTTTCACCTCTAAGACTAGCCAAAGTTTCGAACATTGGACGAGAAAGCTGTTAAAGCATCAGCCGGTTAAGTTGGAGAAGCACCAATCATCTTTTGCTTATGTCTTGGACTCAAAGTGGGTCCTGAAGGCCAGACTCAACAAACTCGGATGTGGCTGAGTTGCTGGCTGTTGTGTATAGTCAACAAGCCAAGATTCTAGTGGAAGAACCCTTGTATTGTCAGTTCGATGATCCTGGAAGCAGAAGTCTATTTGTTACTTAAGTTTATGACTCTAGTTGGTCCTGACGGCTGGGCTTAACAAGCCTTGATTGCTCTTTACACTCAACAAGATAAGTTTGTAGTGGAAGAGCCCTCGTTCGCTAGTCTGATGATGACAAGAGTGCAAATCCATCAACAACCCTAGTTTAAGACTCAAATGTGTCCTGATGACCGGATTCAATAAGCTTATGACCAAGTTGCTGGTTGCTCTTTTCACTCAATAAGCCAACACCGCAATGAAAAAGGCCCCCACTTTGTTATTCCAATAATGATTGTTATCCCACCTAAGTGTTTCTAACTTGACAGGTCCAAGTGGTCTAAATCCAAAAGACTTTCTCAATTTTTCTAGGAATTAAGATAAGATCAAAGAAGATGATCCTGACTTAAGAAGAAATCAAGCCACATTTTATATTATTTTCAATGGGTCCGCTTACAACGCAAAACCCAAGTAACCGCTTTTTGAATAAGTCCGACAAAGCACTTAACACAAGACAGAAGTTATCCTAGCTCGTATAAACCCTAATGTTGAACTGAAAGACTTCTATCATCAATAAGCCAATTCAAACACCATGTGCTAAGCCGACTACTTTTTTCATCGACCTAACACAAGCCTCAAGGGCTAGGTGATCGACATACAATCAGATGAGTTGAAGAAATTCAAATCATGCTTAAGGGCAGAATTCTACTACCCAAAGGCAGATAATAAACTTCAACAAGCTCATCAAATAAGATGCAACATCATCCAAAAAAAACAACTGCAATGATAAAAAATTTAGTATAACAATTCAATTTGTACTCTGCACTGACATCTGATAGCATTCCCGGAGATCTGCAAAGTGAATACCCTTGTCTGACGTCCAAACAAAATTTTGGAGATCCATAGGGTTACCGGGATGCACAAATATGTTTTTTCTCTAGATGCACAAGATACTTGTGGGTGCATTTGCTGACCTTAATATCTGCTTCATTCGTCGCATTCAGTTGTACGTAACTTTATGTGCATGAAGTGCATTTTGCATGAATTTTTGTTTGAGTAACAATTATTCATGGGGCGTCATTTTATGAAACGGACCGCGCGAGTGCCTTTGGACAGTCGAGACGATTTGAATAATTTATTCGCTTCCGAATCGGGCTCTGTTTGACATGCTTGGAGGGATCAAATATTCTTTAAATTTAAAATTTATATCAATTTTGTATATAAAACTATATATCGACATTAATTAATAACAGCAGCAGATGGATGGAAGGAACACATAGATAGAACAACAAAATGGAAAATACTGATTACATTGCGCATGAATAATGAAGCCCCTTAGAATTCAGCCTTATTTCAAAGGGAACTTTTACATATATATGAGGAGGCAGAGGTGATATGCTCTGTATGAGGCCGTTGGGATTTGGTATGCCTGTACTAGTAATGATAAGGGAGTCCAACATGCAGCTGGCGGTGAGGAGCATTTCCCAGGTAACCGAAATAATGAGTGCGGATATTACCTCCCTGCAAGCTGAAGCTTGGAGCGAAGCAGCTTGAAACATTGCTTGTGTAGTGATTTGGTGAAGATGTCCACTGGTTGATCCTGGGTGTGTATATAGTATAGTTGGAGATGTCCGGACTAAATGTGTTGTCATATGAAATGATAATCAATTTTGATATGCTTCGTACGGGGATTGAAGATTGGATTATTGCCCATGGCCATAGGTGATATGTTGTTGCAGTAAAGAGGTGTTGACTGTTCCTATGGAATGCCCAATTCAGCAGGCGACGAAGCCAAATGAGGTCTGCGGTTGCCTCTGCCAAAGTGCAATATTCGGCTTCCGTGGAGGAGTGAGCGACCGTGGTTTGTTTCTTCGCTGTCGAGGAGATTGGTGTTCCACCCAAGAAGGTGCAAAAACCTATGACTGATTTTCAGTCAAGTGAATCGGCTACTCAATCTACATTGGAGTAGGTTTGAAGTGTAAGGGATCATGAGTAATTCTGAGAACGAATCCGATTGAGTCTTTAGGTAGCGTAATACAGCTGATGGTGAGAGCTAGCGGAGCATGCATGTGTTGGCAAAGAGTATTGACGGCGAATGCAATATCTGGGTGGGTTATGGTGAGGTATTGAAGGATAGCGGTGATTTTCCTCTGGTCTGTGGGATTATCGAAGGGTTTATTATGAGCAGCGAAGTCATACCTCTTTGCAGGAAGCGGAGTTGCAACCAATCAAGCATGGCTGTGTCATGTAGAATGCTGTGAAGGTATTGATGCTGAGATAGAGACGTGAACTCCTTTGTGCGGGTGACGTGGATGCTCAAGAATTTAGATATTTCGCTTAGATACTTGATTTGGAAGTTAGATTGCAGCTATTGCATGAGACTCTCAATAGCCTTAGAGTTGTCACCCGTGATTACCATATCATCTACATATATTTGTACGAAGAGTTTGTGTGTATTGGAGAAGGAGAGCTGCAGCGATGGGTCGGATTTGTTGATGTGAAAACCTCGTTCAATGAAAAATGTAGAGATGGTGGCAAACCATCAATGAGGCGATTGTTTGAGACCATATAATGCTTTCTTGAGTAAGCATGTGTTTTGGGAGATTGGGATCTATGATTCCCTTTGATTGCTGCATATAAATTGTTTCATTAAGAGTTCCATGCAAGAATGCGTTGATGACATCGAATTGGAGTAGTGGCCACTGCTTGTTAAAGGCAAGAGTGAAAACAATGCGGAGAATGGCCATTTTGACGACTGGGCTGAAGGTTTCTGAGTAATTGACACCGAATTCCTGTTTGTAAGCTTAAACGATGAGGCGAGCCTTATGTCGAGCCACCATTTCATCGATATGGAATTTTGTGCGTTTGGTTCAGCGGCACCCAAGCACTTTCTGGTTTGGTGGGAGGGGAACTAAATCCCATGTAGCTTGTGCTTGGAGTGCTTGCAACTCCTAGAACATAGGCTTTCGCCAATGAGATAATTTGGTGGCTTGGGTGAATGAGGTGGATCCAGATTTCTTTGGAGTTGGTGGGAGAGGTTGAACTTTTGGATGGGTTTAAGGTGACCTGTATTTGTTCGAGTGAGCATAGGATGGGGAATATGTGTTGGTGGGGGAGCTGCTGGGTTGGTTGTCGTGGGGAGTTGCGGTGCTATGAGGGATGTGCAGGTGGAATTGTTATATGGTGCGGGTGTTATAGAGTGTGGGTAGAGGAGTGATTTCGAAAGAAGATGAGGTAGCTGGACTAGTAGATGGCGAGACGAGGAGAAGTGGATTGGACCACTGTGGTGGATTGGTGTAGAATTAGCTGGAGGGGTTGTTGTATTGTGACTGGGAGTTTTGAATGGAAAAGAGTTTTCATGGGATATGACGTGCCTTGATAATATGATTTTGTCCGATGCACGATTATAGCATTTGAAATCTTTTGTGTGGGGGAATGGCTAAGAAAAATGCACGGGGTTGAACGGGGTGCTAATTTATGAAGTGCCGAATGCTTGAGCCTTGGGTAACAAGAACAACCGAATACTCTTAGATGAGAGTAAATTGAAGATTGTTTATATAATTGTTCATAGGGAGAGATAAAGTTGTTGTAAATTAAATGGAATGGAGGCATCATCTTATTGTTTCAATTAGGTGACGGTGCTTGCGTTTGACAACACCGTTTTGTTCCGGTGTATACATGCAAGAAAATTGATGAAGTATTCCTTCTTGGGAGACGAAAGAATGAAGAGTGGTGTTATTGTATTCTTTTCCTCTATTGGAATGTAAGTATGCTGATGGTTGTTTTAAAGTGAGTTTGGATCTTTTTTATGAAGAGAGTGCATTTTTG